TATCATTTGGCTATCGTAATTTTTAACACATGTACTTATTGGAATACAAGAATAAAATGTTAAGCGGTTATATGTCTAATTGCCTACTCATAACGAAAAGAAGTAAAAATATTTAATTCATTTATATTGTCAACGACACGTCTAATATGACCTGAAACAAACGCATTCGTGAACCAGTTAAAATATATGTGACAACTACTACGAAATTGGCAAGCATGTAGAAAAAGAAAGCTGGCTTTTTACCCCTACTCCACCAAAATCAAAGTAGCGCTTTGATTATTCGAAAGCTGTTCGCTCTTCTCCTGCTTCCTTTTCATGGAGCATATCTTCGCTAGCTTTAAGTTAACGAATATACTCATTTATTTTCGCTAGCTTTTAATTCATTTTAATAAAAATGGATTACAAAAATGGATTATGAAAATGAGAATACATCGAGTGTGTAAAAGAACATCCCCGTATAGTAGCAGCTACAGCTGCAACAAAGATTCGGAGGCGACGCATAACTGTTGCAATTGCTAATATACAATTATTATTAAAAAAGAAAAAGTACTGGCTAACATCTATTTCCAAAAATCACAGCAAACATGGCTTTTTCTTTGCTTCGCTCCCAAAATTAATTTTGGAAGACGTACGATTCCATGAACATGACATGTCATGTCATGACATCTCATATATTTGAGCGATGTTCGCTATTAGTTGAACAATATCGAACTTTGAGTGTAACTTCGCTGTATACGAAAATTGATGAAGTGTGGGGGGGGGGGAAGCTTTCCTTCGCTGCATGAAATTGCACCTTTACGCTCGAGAATTCTGAATACGCTTATTATCATCTTTACAGAAATGTGTCTCATACAATATCACCAACTCGCAAATACAACAAACGCGGATAATAACGGTGCATAGAATGAAAAGCGGTTTGTAAATTTCGAAAGTTGAAATGTTGATTCTGTACGGAAATATTCCGAGGATGCGACAGAAGGTGAAGCAGGGATACATCAAGGATTCAAAGTTTGTGACGTGAAACAATTGCCATTGTTTCCGTATTTTATCCTTGGCCCGTTTGTGGAATTTCGACGAAGAGTTGAACGTCTTCATTATGGAGAACTTCACTCTAAGCCGTTGATGCACAGTTTAAAAATTAATCCTATTATCAATATACTGTAGCTATTAATTATTTCAGTTATTTATACACTTTATCAATAATGCGAATGTGATCTACAAATGCTTCTCTTTTATAATATTTAATTTTATTTTTCTAACAACATACGCGTTATATACCGATATATATCTTTTTGTTGTTGATTTACACTTGGTATAAATTTAAAATTGAGAACACAATAGTGCATCGAGAAACGAGATCAAACTCAATGAGTTTGTTAGTCGTTAAGTAACCATGTCGCTCTCTTCAATCATCATACTAGAAATACAGCGTACGTATTGTTACATAATATAACAATGTGTAATTATTATGATACATATCAGCAATATATTTTATATATATATATACACAAAACTAACAAAACAATAAATTCACAGCATATCGGTAGCTCGTAAAGATTAATAATTCTAATAATGGCTAAAATTTCGTTCTTCATACATTAATCATGTAGAGGATTTTGTAAGATATATTCTTTATAATATCACACACACTTTTACTGGTACTTAAAATTTTTTATTTTTATATAATTTATTATCATTTTTAATGTGAAAATATTGTTGATACTTTTTTTTATCAAAATATGTCGTTGATATTTGAATTTTATGCAACTAATTATATATTGTTTTCGTGAATTTATCGAAATGTTTTAAATTAGACTTAATTTATTTTACTATTTTTAATATTGTGTACTAAAGCATCAAATTACTCGATTGCTTTGAGGTATAACATTACTGTGAAAAACATGTGTCACAAATGTAATGTTAATAAATTAGAACTAGAATACAAATACAATATTAATAAAATGAAACTAGAATACAAGTACAATGCTATTGATAAAGATTAATCTAACTATTTATCTAGATTGAAATTAATCGACATATTCTCTTTGGTGAAATTCTTAACAGATCGTAATCTATAAATTACATGCAGGATGGCTAATCTTCTTTATTTCAGCAATAATAAAAAAATGCAATGACGAAAGACATCAATATCATCACGCTAATTTATCAACCGCATTATATTTCGATGAAATGTCCTTTAATCATCGTTAATAAATGAATTAGCTTAAAGTGCAAAGAAATATTCAATAAGCTGTTTTTGAAGATTAATTTTAATTATGAAGTCTGTTTAAAAAATATGTTTCCTTTTTTATCATTAATGTTATGAGAAAAATAAAATTATAACAAGTCTAAATTAATTTAATTATTATACAGGATTAACTAAAGGTATCGTTAACAAATTTTAACCTCAAGAGTTATCATATTAAGATATTTCTTGCAAATATATTTATTATATTTGACACACGATACACATAAGCAAGTAAAATGCATTCACACAGTAAAAATTTATTTTTGCAATTAAATGTTAATATATAAGATTTTGTCTCTATATGTATACATCTATTATGTCTACATGTGTCTAATGTTAAAACATACACAACAAGAATACGTTTTAATATTTAAAAAAATATTTTTTTTTATTTGATTTGATTATCTTTTTTTAATTGGATTGTTTATGTAATATTGTTTGTAACTTTTTTATTGCAAACTTGATCGGCAATTAAAAATTGTATTAAAATTAATAGGTATGTAGTGATGTTACTCACTATCTAAAATTAAAATTATATATAAATAATCAATACACATTATTTAAAACAAATAATCATTCACTTACCGCGACGAGAAGTGTTGCGTCTACTGTAACACCCTTAGCGGAAAATGTATTTTCCCGTTGCAGTACTTGCAAGGAAAACAGCTGCAACTACAAAACATCAGATTAGAAGATGAGTAAATACAAAATTAAGAAATAATTACTAACTGCACAGATTTAATATATAAAGTTTGACACACGATATCTTCAGAAAATGTACAAATCAAATTTTATTATTTTATTTACTTCATCTTTGATTTGTTCATCGATAGTGTTATTCAATATTTCATGAACGGTGGTACCGATCCTCATGGCCTCATCCTTGCCAGTATCACAAGCCCATCCCATCAGTGCTATTTTGGTGCTTTGATACATTAAAGACGTTAACACTAACCAATCAAAAAGATCGTGATCTAGCTCTTTTAAGAAAATTGTCCAATGAAATATATAAAAATATAGAAGGAAAGTAAGTTCAGCAAAAGTTATAACTATGGTAGCGAGAAGCTGTAGACTGAAAATTGTATTCAACATTTGCACGGAGTCACTGATAATCAAATGCTGTTTTCTCAAAGCTTTGAGTTTCATTAATAGGAATGGATTTCTCTGTTCGTGATAAATCCTCCTCAAAAGATGTGGTTCGTTGTTCACTACGACCTGCCCCAAATTCATCAGATTATCGTTGATTTCCTTAAAACAAGCTTTTAATATACATACGCAATTTATATACAACATATCCATTTGAAGTATTATCAAGTTCATATACAGTATGAAAATCTTGTCCATGTAATCAAACTGTAATATAGAATAATAAAATGCTGATTGTCCGATTAGAAAAAAGAATCCAAAAATATCTTTAGCATGAATCAGTTTAGATAGCTTTCGAAATGAATCAGGAGACAGTCTCAGAGAGATTTCCATTACATTTTGGAGTAAGTGCATCCGAGGACCGTTGAAAATATACGTAACAATCGCAATAAATCCGCTGAGTGTAAAAAAACAATTGCGTTCAAAAGTCAAAGCTATGGATACAAGCTTAATCGTTCCAATAATGTTAATTCTATACAGTACTCCTAGTTCGTAAATGCAGAAAATGCTTGTAATGACGGTTGTCAGAATACAGCGCGGTTTCGTAGTTTCAAAAGTCGAAGCGTTGATGCGATACGGAAATATTCCGAGTATGCGGCAAAAGGTGAAGCAGGGATGCATAAGCGATTGAAAATCCGTAGCATGGAACAGCTGCCATTTTTTCCACATTTTGCAATCAATGCATCTTCGAAATTTCAATAACATATTTATCATTATCAGTAAGATAAAAGTTCTCAATAATTTGTGTCATACAACAACTTATATTGTCCAAAAATTAATCTTTATACACTTTAGCATTCACATGAACAGTACAGTGAGAATTTCTTTTTGTATATAGCCTTCAAGATTATATGATTAAGATTCTTCATTGATCTACACTCGCCCAGTTTCCATTTAAAACTGCAGACCATTGCAGCATCGAAACAATACCTAAGCCATCAATTGTTAGTCATAAAGTAACCATGGTGCTCTTCGATCGGTAATCATCATCTTTGATATGCAGAATATAATGAAACAAAATGTAATTATTGTATAACTCAAAAAATCATCTGTACATACGTCAAATTAACTATGTTCTACATGAATTGGCAGCTTTCTCAAAGTAATCTTAATGTAACTATATATAATTTAAAAAATATTAAATATTAGATTTTTATTGTAGATATAGAATATTTAAAATTTCTATATTACAACATTGAAATTTAACTGTTCCCGTATGACAAATTTCTATTGTACATTTATATATATACATACTCATAATTTATTTCATTTTCTTACATATTAGAAATAATTTCGAAATTGCATTAGCTTATTGGTATCAACATTAATACGACACTAATGTTTTAATCTCTTATCGAAATAGTTCAATTATTCAATAAGTTCAAAAGGATATTTTTCACAAATATGTTTACATATAATATGTGTTTTAGCGATATGAGAATATATTATATCTTCATATCGCTAAAAAAGAAAATATCTTTATTATATAACGATAACAAAAAGTTTATTTTTTGAAAAATGAGGTGCTAATTTCACAAAGGTTACAATAATACATTTCATTCATTAATTATTATACCTTTATCAGTAGATTATTTGTGTAACATTATTTGCAAATCTTCCGTTGCAAAATTGCGAGGTATACAGGAATTAAACTAAGATTAATACATATGTGGTTACGTTACCCACTATCTATAAGGTTTATGAAAATAAACAATATGTAAGTATTGAATTAATTAAGAAACAAATAATCGCGCTCACTCACTGTAGTGAGAAGAGTAACATCCATAACGAAACCCTTCGCGGAGAATGTATTTCCGCGGTGCATTATTTGCAAGGAAAGCAACAACTGTAACACATAAAATTAAAGTTAAATACGGGAGTGCCATTATTAATTCTGAAAGACTTCTTTTAGTTAAAGATACTTTTAAAAAAATTACCTCCTTTTTTATTCGCGCATCTGACATATTATTAAATAGATCATAAATGGTGGTGTCAATTTTCGTGGCCTGATTTTTAGCAGTCTCACAAGCCCATACTATTTTTATAAAATATTGTATTATAACCACTAACAAATACAGATCATAAATCTGATTATCCAGTTGGTTTATTATTGCGCCAATTTTCCAATATATAAAGTATGTAAAAGCAGTATATAAAAGCATAAGATGAAAGTGAGTTTGACAAAAGTCATAATAGAGCGGAGAATGCATTTCTGCAGTTCATTATTTACAAAAAAAGCAGCTGTAACTGTAACACGTAAGATTAAAGTTAAATACGGGATTACCATTATTCACAAGATTTTATTCAGTTAGAAACACTTTAAAAAAAAATTATTTCGTGTTTTATTTGTGCATCTGAAATATTATTAAGTAAATCATGAACGATGGTATCAATTTTCATGGCCTGGTTTTTACCAGTCTCACAGGCTCATATTATCAACGCCATTTTTATAAAGTAATAAAAATTGGTATTATGTATTATAAATTAAAATGTAACAAACTTTGCTTAATTGGTATTACAAAGTATTCGTTACAATCTTTGTTACAATTTTCGTATGTTATAGTGAAATTTATTGCCTTGCGCTAAATAAATATCTAAAAGAATATTAAATATTAATAACAGGAATATTAATATTAAAAAAGAGATGTAATGTAGTGCAGTGGACAAATTAAAAATAAATGTTTTTGCCAAAGTATGAAAATATAATCATGTGCGTGCGTATAAATATAACATGTTAATCTATTATCTCAAAATTACATAGCTTAAATTACACGATTCTTTTAAACTATATTATTATTGTTTATGCACATATTTAAACTTGTTATTAATTTCTGTTGTTTATAGAGATATTAAAAACGTTATTCTTACTTGTTTATATAAAAGAAATAGAAGGTGCACATTGAGAATTGTCTCAATAAATGGTTAAACCAATTTTATTTTAAAACACAAAATACATTATTTAAAACTTTAGCAGTGACTTTTAATATTTATGAATTAATAATAAGATAACAGAAAAACATAAAATTCTATGCATTAATTGCTAGTAATAAAAAAATATACTTTTTATAACGATAATGAAGAAATTCTTTGAAAATTAAATGTATCATAATTTGTAACATAAAACATTGACATTTTATTTCAAATTGTTTATAACTAAATTTCTACAATCATTGTCAGTATAACATCGATTAGATACAATAACTTTTTATTTTTATATTTATTCATATATTAAATCTTAAGTTATCGTAAGATGATCAAATATTTTGAGGATATTAATTGATTATTCCTTATATGATAAAAATAAATTTAAAATTGTACTAGCTTATAACGAAATAGTAAGTAAGCTAATAAATAAATACAAAACAATTTTTTACAACAGTTTTTCATTATTATTATTATTATGTTAAAAGGATACATAAGCGAGAGTGTAAAATATATATTAAAGACTTATTTCTAAAATACATCATATAATGTCATACATGCATCATATAATAATATAATGAAAGTTTTATCTGTATAATATAGATATATATACAGGGTGTTTCCAAATTAAATGGCAAAACTTCGGGAGCGTGTAGAGGAGTAAAAAACTAAGAAAAAAAGTCCTATAGACATATGCT